AAGCATGATTCCGCCTTTAATTGTTAATTGCATGCTATTGATGTTGCTTAAATGAACATGTTTTTAACAAATATTCCTTCATCTCTAGTGCCTAAGTCAGCTTCTCTGAAAAGAGAGAGTTCAAGGCTTCAATGCATACAAAAGCTTACCAAAAATTGGTGTAGACGGAGGTAGCCAGCCATAGCTTTTGCCCTATGCATGGAGGTTTTTCATTGACCAAGGTGAGTCATCTGTATAATGGATGAGAAAAGAATAATCCTAAAGATATTAATTATTAAATAATAACTTGAGATTGGAAATCCTTACTTGTTTGAGTTGATCTTCAATCAAGAGAATATTAAAGATGAAATTTATTAATTAATCATATTCTTAATTCCTTTGACCTTTCTTCCTGCCATGGGCATAAAAGTTTGGTGATGTTGTAGTTAGCTGCTCATATCTTCAAAGAGGCCGAACTGCAAGTGGACTAAACGTGGGCCGCCATTTAATGAGGGCATTCTTGTCTTCTTTGGAAAAAAAAGTCCATATGGCAGCTCTAGGATTTTTTGGACTATTTTTCGCTCCACATATGTCCCCACACCTGCTGTATTGCACGCAAAAAAAGGCAAAAAATGTGGAAGTCCAAATGGGAAAGCCGAAAGTTGTTTCCTAATTTGCTTGAGATTCTGAGCTTTAATTTGGATTTGAAGTTTTCTAGGAAGAGGAAACCAACTGCCTTTAGAATTTATTTAAGTCTACCTTAAGTAGAGGTTTAAATAAATTCCTAGAGCAATTTGTTTCTCGACAAAAAAAAAAAAAAAAAAAAGAGGAAATTGTACCCCCTTCCTGAGTTTAATTCTTTGTTTGCCCTTGTGAAGAGTAGAGCATCATCGTTACCTTCTTCTTCGTGCTGCACCAAGGTAAGGAAAACTTTTATAATTCCCCCTCCCACTTTTTTCTTCTAGAACCTGTGGTTAGCTTGGCATCTTGATGGGTTGGTTTAGCGAGGAGCGTAGGTGCTGGTATGGTGTGGCAATGATCGACTCGGTTGAAGCTAAGGTGCTAGCAACATGATCTAGCACGAGCTTGGCACACAACTGGCTGGGGCCAGATGCATGGCTAGCAGGGCCAGGAACTAGGCAAGCTAAGGCTCGGCCTGATTGGGGCTCAGATTTGGTGCGGGCTATACATGAAAGTAAAGAGGTATTGGCCTAGGCTACTAGACTTTCTAGAAAAAAAGTGGATCGCGACCTGACTTGATGCTGCGCTGAGTGGTAAGAGGACCTCTTGTCGACTTAGGCCAAGAGAAATGAATTGAGAGGCTTGGGCTTGTACTTTGCGGCCTGAGAGGAGAGGGAGGAAGGCTTGGCATAGGGTGTTGGGCTTCCTCCTAGGCGGGCCTATGAGCTAGTGCGAGATAAAAGAGATGGGATGTGGGGAGTAGTGCTAGGGCACTAGGTTCTTGCAACCAGAGCCTTGGTGTGCTGCTACTTTGGGGCGTGGTGTGGCATGATGGTTTGTGGCCTTGTGCCTGCTCTCTTCCAACAGTATGATTTATTTTTCACATACTTATTGAGTAGTTTTTTTTAATATTTCTCTTGAACTTTTACGTATGAATTTTCAAGATGTCTATCTTTCGGCTGAAGTTGAGGTGCTGGCAACGTGATCGAACACGAGCTCGGCACGTGGCTAGTTGGGGCCAGATGCACGGCTAGCAAGGCCAGGAACTAGGCAAGTTGGGGATCAGCCAATTTGGGGCTCAGATTTCGTGCAGGCTATATATGGAAGTAAAAAGAGGTATTGGTTTAGGCCATTAGACTTGTTAGAAAGAAAGTGGGTCGTGGTCTGACTTGCTGCTGGGCTAAGTGATAGGCGGGCCTCTTGTCGACTTAGGTCGAGAGAAAGGAACGAAGAGGCTTGGGCTTGTACTATGTAAGTTGAGAGAAGAGGGATGAAAGCTTGGCACATGGCACTGGGCTTCTTCCTAGGCAAGCCTGCGAGTTAGTGGAAGATAAAAGAAATGGTATGTGAGGCCTAGTACTAGGGCACTGGGATCCTGCGACCAGGGCCTTAGTGTGCTACTACTTTGGGTCGTGGTATAACATGCTGGTGTACGCCCTTGTGCCTGCCCTATTCCAACCGTACATTTTATTTTTCATATACCTATTGAGTAGTCTTTTTAATATTTCTTTTGAACTTTTATGTAGGAATTTTCAAGATGTCTCTCTCTAGTTGCAAGACTGATGAGTATCCTCCGATACCATGTACTTTCGTGTATTAGAGCTCCTTAGGAATAAAATTCCTCTTGAGAACTTTTTGGTCTAGATGCATTTTCAGGACTTTCTTAAGCACATAGTGTTCCATAATGTACTTGATTTAATACGCTAGTCTGCAATCTAAGTAATCCTACTTAGGGTCGGAATTCAGAATCACCATGCGGATGATATCCGAATCGTCTTTTTAAGTATTCCCTTGAATGGTGTAGAGCCCATGTTTGACCCACAACCCTTAGGTTGCATAGACTTTTAGGAGGCTGGATGGTGCATTGAACTTCCAGGTCAGGGGACCATGTTCTCATGCTCGTAGCCCGATTATTGCAATCGTGCTTAATACGGTTCGAGCCTCCAAATTGCTAACTAAACACTACGAGTGGGCTAAATGAAACTCTTTTGACACTGTCACTTTGAACTTTTAGACTTGCAATTATGCGAAATTTTAAAGCTGTGTGCTATTTGGGATTTTAGAGTATCTCTAGTACTGCAAAAAGAAAAGAATAAACAAGCAAAACGAAAGTCACTGCATAATTAAACATTGAAGTTCTTAATCATAGTAGAATAAAGAATTTGAAAAAGGGTGTGATTAAATATGGATAAGATTGCATGCATATCTCTAGGCAAGAGAATCAAATCACTGATGTAGTTTTAGTTAAAAGATGATACAACGTGAGTTCTACAAAAGGGGATCATCTTTAACGAATGGCCTATGGTGAGGCGATAAGGAGATGAGTTCTCCACATAGTTGTGTTTGCGCAGACTATAAAGTTGAAATTATTTATGGTTGAATCCGCAACGAAGGGCCGACATGTTCGGAAAAAGGAATTATTTTAGTCGATTTGATGACTTTTAAGGATGGTCCACCTTAGAGAAGTCGAACATCCTCGTTTGGATTGGCTAGTTCTCTTTTCTTTAAGCAGCCTCTGTCTTTGTAAATGCAATTGGTGTAGAGGGTAGCTTATTTGCTAGACGTCTGTCATCTTTATCATTAGTAAGCTTGTACCTGTCGGACTTATCATTGTCTTTTCATTAGCATGTCCATTCTCCCTTGTTTTGCTTCTGATGAATTCTCAGCAGTGCCCTTAGTCGAGGAGTTTTTCAATCTGGTCCCTTAATGTTTGGCAATTTTGAGTTGTATAGCATCAGGCGTCAGGAACTTTAGGTGAAAAGAGAAGGAAAAACTCTTAACTTTCTTAAGCAAAAGACTAAGAAAATTCTGAAGAAGGCAAAAAATGATAGCTGAAGATATTTCATAATCATCTCACCAGGGGATTTAGATCGTCTCACCTCAAGATCAACAAATGTGACAGCTAGAGTTAATTAGAAAGTAACAGACAATCCTTCGTTCTCCGTACACACGCAAATAAGACATCTTCAACAGTGTGATATTGATAGAACGATTATCAAGACAACACACCCAAATCTGGAATGTCTCGATTGTTTTGCAACATTCATAAGATTGAATAGCCACGTGAAAGAAGATTTGAAACTATATGTATTCCATTTTACTCCAAAAGGCATGGTTTTTGAATAATTATCCATTCTCAAGGTGAACAAGTCATTTCCAGATTCATAATTAAGGGAAATTATGGGACCAATATTTTCCAGAGCTTGAGTAAGACGAATTAAAAGACGAATACTTCAGAAGTTCGGTTGTGGACTCAACAACTTCTTAGCGAAGTTGTACAGACGGAGCAGCGAAGCCACCATCATCTGTTCCGGAGTAGTAGGCAAAGTCTGGAAACCTAATCCAACAAAGAATTAATAGGTTTCCTATATTTTTGGAGTCTTTACAATCTAAGGATTGGCGTGCGCCACAAGTAATTATAATTCTAAAAGGATGCAATATCTACTTCCTAGGTATCCTATAAGATTCTCCCAGTTTAATACGGCTCTACTTCGACTAGTATAAATACACCATTTTAGTATTCATCTTTGGTAACGCAATTAACGCTCACTTGTTTTCTTGCCTACTGCTCGAGTCTCATAATACTGCTTACTAACTTAACCATTAGAGAGCTTTTGATCGACATACCCCAGTCTTAGACTACTTACGGTTGTGTGTTCTTTTACAGGTTACTCAAGTTTGTGCATCTCAACCCTTCACGGCGGTGCGCGAATTTAGTTCCAACATGACCTATAAGCTATTCCTCCATTATCCAATACTTTAGCTGAGCGCTAAGTCTAACTGCCTTTGTGTCTCTTCATAGACTTCTTTGGTAGCCAAAGCGTGACTGGGAGTTGACATCTGGACAAACCTGTCTTTGCAGCTTCGTGCCAGAAAGTTATTAGGTTTGCAAATTGGCTCAAGCGATTAGAAAGTTCTTTAAGTTTTGAGCTCATCTTTTGTTGTCGGTAGACAATTCAGGGTTATGGGTGGTCGTTAATGATAGTTTCCTTCGTTCTTGTGGTGGTATTCTGTCATCTGAACTACCTGGTGACTTGCAGGCCTAATATCCTGATCCTCCTATCCTTCAATGGACTCTTTTCAAGCCCATTTATCGTTAGACCCAACACTAGCCATATATAACGGGACTAAAGGACATGCGTAAACGATTTTGATGATTACTGTTCAACAAAAGTACATATAGATATACTTCTGTTTTTGGCGGGTAAAAAGAAACGAACAAAGACAAATCCCAGAAACGAACCGAAGCCAAAACTTGGATTCAGAAATAACCATAACTAATTAATATTTGCAAAGATACCCTTGATTGTTATTATTTTTGCCAATTCTCCCAAAGTCTCTCCTCTCCCCCCCCCCTCTCTCTCTCTCTCTCTCTCTCTCTCTCTCCACTCTTCCGTTTCTCCATCACGAGAACAAACATTCGCCAAATCACGACTTTCACTACCTGCCTGCAACTTGCTCATAGTACGACGAGTATCATCACTGGCTACTGACATGGAAAATTGAACCGTTGGGTAGGCGAACAATTGGGCTGTGAAGCAGGGTTCGACTCGTTTCGTTTTGCTTGCAGTTGACGATCTGATCGGCGACGGCAGCCGGTTCGGTCGTTCCAGTGACCTATCTTGCGAGCCCTCTGGTGGGATCTCGATCGCGGGTGGGAAGGTAAATCTGACGAACTGTGCGACCTTGATTTGAATTATGAGTTTCTGAAGTTTGGTAATTGAATTTTGTTTTTGCTGTTGTCGATTTGGATTTTGGGTTGTTGAATTTGGTAAAATTTAAGAATTCTTCTGAAGAAAAAGGGATCTGGGTTTTTGATTTCAGACTTCCAGTGATCAATGGCGGCTCTTGTGCGTCCCACAGGGGCACCTAGGCCCAATAATAGTAACACTAGCGCCCCACCACCCCCTAATTACAGTCCTAACAATGCTCAGAGGGATCCCGATTCGTTAGCTGGAAATATGCAGATTTGAATCTTAATAGGCAGCCTTCCATGCCTAATTCTGCCTCTAGACCATCCCTTATTGGCCAAGCACCGCCTTTTCATTCGTCAGCCCCTCCTGCTGGGGCTCCCGTTGCACCTCCCCCTTTTTCGCGGCCTGGCCCTCCCCCCGCTGCTCTTGCAAGACCTGCGGCACCTCGATCAGGATCCCCACAACCAACAGTATCCTCTGCCACCACCCCAGTAAGGTCAACTGGGCCGCCTGTTGGCCAGCCTTCATCTTTTGTGTCCAGACCGCCTCCTGGGTCATTTCCCCCTGTGGGTGGCGTAGCTCCAGCTTCTGGGCCACCACCTGGTCCTTTTCATACGTCAGGTTTACCTAGCGGTCCAGTTTCAGTACCGCCACCAGCATCAGGTCCTCGCCCAGGTCCTGGTTCTTTTCCTTTGGGTAGTGGTCAGAGCATGCCTCCTACGACTGCACCAGGTAGATTGATGAGTAATGGGCCACCGGTCTTTGGTTCTGGAGCTATGTTGGGTGGGCCTCGTTTCCCTCCAAGTGGAAATGCACCTCAACCACCTTTTGGACATCCACCAACAGGTGGCAACGGCAACAGGTCCTCCTCGAACGCCAACCATGCACTCTATGCTAGGCACTCCAGCAGTTAGTGCTCCACCAGGTCCTGTTCAGCAGGCACCACCATTTTCAGCAGTACCACCATTTTCAGCGGCACCACCATTTTCAGCGGCACCACCAAGCATGCAGGCACCTCCGGTTTCTCCCTATGGCTCACAGACATGGCCAATGCAACAAGGGCAGGTTAGTGACTTGTATTGTTTTTGGAGTATTATGGATAATACCAAATTTCATATTATTGAGTCAACTAAGATAATCCAAAGTGGGCATGTGATGTAAAAAGCTAAGGTGTATATCAAACGGAAAAACTACCCAGGTGTACTGGCAACTACTATTTGTTTTATGTAGTGATTGAAACCTGTTTCTATGCAAGGCAATACAATCTAATATATGTTAACTGGAACCAGATAGATTTTTTTCCTGCTTCAGTTCACATATCATCAAAATCATCCGCCCTCAGTTTAAGTGAAGAACACGCTTTCTAGTGGATGCTTTCAAGGTTTTTGTTGCAGCATCTTTAATACAATAGTATAATCACAATCCTTTTGAGCTGATTCTTATAAGTATCAATGTTAGCTATTTCCTATAATATTTAGTCTCAAACAGTGATTTCACATGTTTAAGCATAATATCGCGAGTTGCAACGTATAACCTTGAATACTATTTTTCTTCTTCTTTGCCATTTAAATTATTAGATTTCAATTTCTTTTGTTTCCACCTACACTTATGCAAAGTGGTAGATGATAGTGTTCTGCTAGAGGGAAACAGGATGAAGGCCGTTTTGTTGCTACTTAGATTTGGTTTCTGAAATATACTGACTTGAATTAGGTGGCTCCACCTTCCCAATTTCCTGGTTCTGTTCAGTCACCCAGAATGTTTGGAATGCCGCCCCCACCACTACCAAATCAGTCCATGGCTACTATCTCACCTGCCTGTTGGTCAAACTGGATCTCCTTTGACTGGGTCATCGAAGATAGATCCGAATCAAATTCCTCGGCCTGTACCAGGTTCGTCGGTGCTCATCCATGAAACTCGTCAGGGCAATCAAGCAAATCCACCTCCGGTATTTATTCATCCATAAATTTTAAGAGGAAAAAAATGATTTCAATAGTTGCTTTAGCTGTATTTCCTGATACTTTTTGACTTCCTTACTCTTTACTCTTTCTACATGTGTAATTTCACTTTAATTGTCATTGCTCATATTCATGCTGCAAAGTGCAGTTAAGCATGGTGAAAAACTAGATATTGTCTATCATTTACATCCTTTTGATTGCTTTTATTATGTTAAAGCCTGCTACAAGTGATTATATTGTCAGAGACAATGGGAATTGCAGTCCACGTTACATGAGGTGTACCATCAGTCAGGTTGGGGTCTAACTTTCATGGATTGAGTGTTTATTACTGTAGTTAAAACATTTTTTTTATCTCAATTTCAATGGAGCAGTTTTGATTTGTTGTTTTCTTTTCTAATAAAGGTCTAGTAATGTTATCATGTTTTGTTAATTTACCAGATACCATGCACGGCTGATCTTTTGACAACATCAGGGATGCCCTTAGCTTTGTTGGTTGAACCATTTGCCCTTCCTCATCCAGATGAAGAACCAATCCAAGTAATGTGTTTATAACATTATTACTGTTCCTTGCAGATATATATAAATTTTGAGAAAGAGACTATTTTAATGAAATTAGACAATAATACATCAAATGAGCAACATAAGTGGCCAAGAAGGCCACTGGGAAGAGAGAAGAAATAAAAAACCAATAAAAGACAAATAAAAACATGTAACTCCCAAGCAGAACTTAATCACCCCACCTTGCCAGTCCAAGCCAATACTCGAAAAAGAAGTATGTCTAAACTCTGTGGAGACCGAAGTCCAGAGAGCATCCAAAACTGAACTTTGTCCCTTAACTGTCCTCAACCTCTGATCCAACATAATCTTCAAATACCTTTCAATTTCTTTTCAACACGACCACCCAGAGCATGGCAAGAACCATCTATCCCCACACAACTTTAGCCTTTTTAGCCTTGCATAGAAAAGAGAAGCAGCCTCTTGGAATTACCAGCTTATATCAGCCTTCTTAAAGAGCTTCAACCAAAGACCCATCATCACAGGGCCTTGGAGGACGGTTTGACCCACCAATTCATAATCTTCCTTGCACAAAATGCACTGATGAGGGGATAAACAGATTATCGGTCTCCTTTGAACCGTATCACAAGTTTTCACCTTCCCCTGAGCCACCAGCCAGGACACCAACCACTTTAATGAGAGCTCTCAAAGAGCCAGGACACCAACTTCACTTCAAAAAGTGATTTCTTTCTATCTGGAAGAAAAAGAAGAAGAGAGAAGATAACACACAAACACTTTCACAATGCTTCCCTATGAATAATGTTACAAAAGATGCGGAAATGACCAAATTCTGAATAATTAAACAATCAGCATTTTAATCGAACTACTATGTTAGTACTGAATCATTTTGTTATAGGTTGTGGATTTTGGTGAAAGTGGTCCTGTTCGATGCTCTCGTTGCAAAGGCTACATAAATCCTTTCATGAAGTTCATTGACCAGGGCAGGAAATTCATTTGTAACCTGTGTGGTAAGGAAGATTTCTGTCTGTATTGTGTTGTTTGTGTCATCTGTCAGTTTATGCAACAGGACGAATTTGCGGTCCCGAAACTTATTCAAAGCAATGTCTATGTCCTCTTTTTTCTTTTTATTTTTTCATGTTTGTTTCTAGGTGTGCACTGTTTTATTTGGCTTGGAAAGGTTATTGAACATTTTCTCAAGCAATCTTTTCAAATATTTTAGAAGGTCATTAGTTAAGTTTAAATCCTTCTCGAGAGTATGTTGTTTACCATTCTATTTTTGCTCTTGGCATCTTTAAGGTCTCTACTTTGGACTCTGGATAAGGGTGTAGTATGCACTGTTTCTATTTATGCAAAAGAGGTGACCTTACAACGTATGACGTTTCTTCTGCAGGATTTACTGATGAGACTCCTCATGACTACCACTGCAATCTTGGTCCAGATGGTAGACGTAGAGATGCTGATGAAAGGCCTGAGCTATGTAGGGGAACAGTTGAATTTGTTGCTTCAAAAGAATACATGGTTTGTTGATTACGAGATGCAGTTATAACTGAACTAATTTTGCATGATTCACCAGACTTACAAATCTTTTTTCTGTCTTCTCTTGGTCATTTCATTTTTATTATTTGGCTTTTATAATTCAGGTGCGTGATCCCATGCCAGCTGTGTACTTCTTTCTCATTGATGTGTCCATGAATGCTATTCAAACTGGTGCAACTGCTGCAGCTTGCAGTGCAATCAGTCAAGTTATTGCTGACCTTCCTGTGAGTTATTTTGTCTGTATGCATAATGTTCCTATTTTGTTATACAAAATGTGATTGTGCTGTCCATAATGTTACATTGTCCTGACGGTTCTGTTTCTCAGCATTTATTGTTCATAATGCTAATGCTTAGACATAAATCTAATGAACTTCGTTTGCACTTGCCTTTTTATCCCCCCTCCTCTTTTAATAGAGTTTTGTTATTTTTTTGTGTGTGATAGACGGACTACATTTTAGATTAGGGTCCATGATGCCTAACCCAAGACATTTAAGAATTGGGATTAAGGCTGACTTGAGCAGATAAAACGTTGTTGAATCTGACTGGAAAACTTAAATCCTTGCTAACTGTAGTGTTATTTTCTTTGAGGCCCATTCAATCCCTTTTGTTTGGTTGGTTGAATAAAAGATGAAATCTATAAATGTAGTTTGGAGTTGTAAATGTACTGCATTATCTCGAATCTGTATAGTTTGGTTACAATTTTTTTTTCCCTCGCATAATTGTCCCCCAAAAGTAAACAGATCATTTATGAGACACATTTGAAAGCATGCCTGACAAAGTGTGCAAGAGTTTATTATGGGCACGTAATATCTCATGTCTGTTTTTGTTGCAAACTCCAAAAAACTATTAAGGTAAACTCCAATTTCTGCTTATTTATTGCATCAGCCAGTCAATCAAAATGCCATTCAAGTAAACATAGAAACAACATGATTCAAAACCAATCTCATTAGATCAAGGAAAACGCAAGAATTCTAATGGTGAATAAATATTAGCCAGGGTTCATTTGCATTTTTTTTTTTTTGTTTTTTGTTTTTTGTTTTTTTGTTTTGTCAAAAGAGTTAATTATCTTATGTACTCATTTGCATGCGCGTCTTATTTTTTTATATTTCATTCCTTATGATCTCCCCCGGTTTTAACAAGATATGTTTCTATGTATGTGACCGTGTGCGTGTGCATGTATTTTGTATGTATATATTTTTCCTTTTTTAGGAGAATGCGCATGCATGCATATTTGCACGGTTCATTTTCCCAAAGCCTCTAGTCATTAGTCATACATTTAAATGAAACGACGACAGTTAGAATTTAATTGACTCACATATTGATGTATTTATTATTTCAGGAAGGTCCTCGGACAATGGTGGGAGTTGCAACATTTGACGCAACAATCCATTTTTACAATTTGAAACGTGCACTGCAGCAGGTCAAATGAGTTCTCTTTTTCCCGAAATAAAAAACTTCATTATTAAAGTTAAAAAGCATAGTTATCTTTGCGTTTATGAATATTGTGTGAATTATTTTTTGTCGGTGATATATAGAACCAGCAATATTTCTGGTTTTGGCTTCTATTCTGATTAGCAAATATTTGTGGTAATTTTTCATTTCTGACAAGCAAATTTGCAGCTAGTTTCTTCTCTTTTTTTTTTCTCTGACCATCTGAATTTAATTGTTTTAGTCGTATTCTTTCTGGTCTATAAGTTTAGGCTATATAACCTGTAACTTTTTTTTTTTTTTTATGGCTTTGGCTTCTATTCTACCAAACAATTATTTGATATGGTTTCTCACCGAGGTCCAATATTTCTTTTCAGCCTTTGATGCTTATTGTTCCTGATGTGCAAGATGTTTACACTCCTCTGGAGACTGATGTGGTTGTTCAGCTCTCGGAGGTCAGTAGCTGCAACTTTTCCCTTCATGAAATGTATTGTGTACTAGTATTGATTTAACAACAATCATTCACAAGTCAGTCTGTCATCTTATTATCAAATTCAGATTCTTATTAATACTTTCTTTTATGGGTTCTTAGTGCCGTCAACATTTGGAGCAATTGTTGGAAAGTATTCCCACCATGTTTCAAAATAGTAAAACTGCTGAATCAGCCTTTGGTGCAGCAATCAAGGTATGCGTATAGCCTGACACTGTTGTGTACTGAAATATTTATGGTGTTTGGGGTTTGTTATTCCATTTCCAAATACAGAATATCGGGAGGTCATAACTCCTATGAGTTGGTTGTGCTTGTGCATGTCATTTTTGTTCATCTATTCTATTTAGGTTTTTTGTCCGGAGCAGAGTATAATCAGAAGGGCAATAAGATTATTGATGCTTATGTTCTTTAATATTAGTTGAATAACTTAAGGCAAAGAACATTTAAGAATTAAAATGGTGGGCTAAAATCATTCTCTGACATGTTAAGTTTAAGAAATTTTTGGAATAATTTTATTAAATACAAGAAATTGAAAATCCTATATGTGTAGATGCTTGCATACACCTGAAAGTTTTGTTGTCGTTGGAATAATTTCATTTTCCGACCCCCACTTAGTGGGATAAGGCTTTGTTGTTGTTGTTGTTGTAGATGCTTGCCTACACCTGAAAGCTGATTGGATCAGCGTTTTGTTCTTGCCAACATGCTGATCAACTTTCTTATTTTTCCTCCTTTTGGCTGTTGACATGCCTCAATATTTGTGTATCATGTCTGCCTTATTTGGCTGCCAACTGGGTTTTACTTACTGTCTGAACACGTTGGGATTGATTTCAATCAAACCCACTTTGACTGCTGACTAGTTGTCAAACCAAAATGTGGAGTTAAGCCATTATTTGAGCTGTTAAACCAGCCCTTAGCGTTGAAATTGATAAACCTCGTTTCTGGTGGTATTTGAACACTAGAGCTATGGCATTAATCTACATCCTGCATTCCATCTAGACAGTCAAACTCTTGGCTTTTCTCTTCTAGCTACCACTTTAAAATTTATCAAACCTGTAACATAGTTGTATAATAGTATTTGTACTTTATGTTTTTAATTGTTTATAATAGAATTGTATTATAATTTAAATAGATCTAATTGTCAATATTATGATTAATATCTGAACTTATATATATATGAATATAATGTATAGATGATCAAAACATCTAACACTATTGCGGTTGGTCAACCAGCCCAGTAATTAAGCCCTATCTTTGGATTTAGACTTGCTTTCCTGTGAGGAGCACTTTGTATCCAATCTCATTGAGTATATTTAGTTGATACATGTTTCTCTTCTTATTTGTTGCTGTTGCGGCTAGCAACAAAATCATTAAAATATGATTTGCACATATTTTTATTTTATAAAAGGTTGATATGTAAATTCATTGCGGGTAATTGATTATCTCATTTTTTTTTCCTCCTTGCCTAGGCTGCTTTCTTGGCAATGAAGAGTACCGGAGGGAAACTTTTGGTGTTTCAGTCAGGCAAGCTTGTATCCCATATCTACTTAATATGCTCCTTCATGTTCCCCCCCTCCCCTCCTTTAAACATGTTTATATATCATTGCAAGCAAAGAATGAAAAACAACACGCTTGGGGTGCACGTCCTAAGAGACAGTGGAGAATTTAACATGAATAGTTTTATAAGAAGAATATTTGGAAGTGCTTATCTGTTGTGTGTTGTTTCAGCCATTAACATTACCTTTTCTTATTGTCCAAAGATAATTAGATAAACAACCTATCTAGTCCTGAAAAAAACCTGACCTAGAACAAATATTTCAAAGTTGCCAATGTTTCCAGTTATCACGGCTTTCCCTCTGTTTAGAATTCTGAATTTTTAAATTCTCACCATTACCTTGTCGTCATGTCTAAAGTATTCAATTCATGCTATCAGTCAACTTGAATTACATATAAATGGTTCAGAGATATTTTCACCGGTATCATTATTGGTCCTGTGTACTTCTATAGACCAATTTTCCAAGAGAATTTGTATGCATATTTATTACATTCGACATCTCCTTTCTCTTTTACCAGATATACCTGGTTTATTGGCATCTCACAGTATACTAATGATTTATGTGTCTGCAGTGCTGGCCTCAACTGGAATTGGAGCCCTCTCTGCTAGAGAGGCTGAAGGAAGGGCTAATATATCTTCAGCTGAGAAGGTAATACCTTTTATATGTGTTCTTGTATGCCATCTGTGTGCTTTATAGCAGTACTATTAAGCAAATAGCCCTTTACATGATTGAGGCCACAAACATGAAATTATATGGGAACTTGTAGTTATGAAAGCCCCAATAGCCAAATGGTCCTTTCCCATCGAAGACCTTTCTGGTCTTTTCTTTTTCAACTGAGTTATTTCCTTGGTGAAATTTGAAACGCTCCTATAAAGCTGTAAGGCAAAGGCCACTCTAAAGAGTGGAAAAGTAACAACAATGGTTGGAAGGAAATAAAAAATGGATTTGTAGGCCAAAAAAAAAAGTGGTGGTCTTTTGCTTTATTGTTTAATGTTGGACAAAGAACAACAAAATTCTTGCTTCATTCTCTCATTTTGAAAACGTATGTTACAATAATCTAAATTGGAAATTTAATTATGAAAACTGTATCACAAAAGACGAGAAGAATAAGAAACAACTTATTTATTGTAATTTATGTCAACATATCAAACTAGGAAGCCCTCATGTATATTTTTGCCTTAGGCCTCACTTTCTCTGGACCCTGTCCCGCTTATAAGATCTTGCTTTTCAATTACATATGTTCAGTTAAGATGAATTGCGTACCTTTTGAAAGAGCTTTTCTCGAATTTCTGGCCCACTTGAAGATTTGGCGAATTAGGTGGCTGTGTAGTTAGACTTGGGACGGTTAATACAAATAAATTGACATATTGGGTCTTTCTAACCGTGATATTATCCAACTTTGGAGAGTCAATTTGCATGTGCTATGTGGCCATAACTGTCATCGCTTACATCTGTTGAGTAGTCTGTTCCATTGATCGTCTTGTAGTCTTGGCATTATGTTTTCTTTGTTTAACTGCATTTCAGGAGGCACATAAATTACTCCAACCAGCAGACAAAACTTTAAAGGCAATGGCAATTGAATTGGCTGAATTTCAGGTAAGCCTTTGACTAATTTTTTTCCCCCTAGATGATCGATCAGTTAACATGTTGGTGTGAATTGTATACTGACGTAGATTTATAGTGGTAATTGACAAATTCTTGATTATTTAAACTATTTTTCCTTTTTCATGAAATGTTCCAGGTGTGTGTTGACTTATTTATCACTACCCAGTCATATATAGACATTGCTTCTATCTCTGTCATCCCAAGAACAACTGGAGGGCAGGTACAATGAATTTGCTTCTATCCCCACCCATATTTCGGGCATCAAATTTCTCTGTTATGATTTGCCTAGGGTTTTCTCTAATTGACTTTTCTAGTTTATTTATCTTTTTGTTTTATTTTTCTTTATCCACATATCCACCATCTCAAATCAATCTGTGAAATCAGATTTGAGAAGCATCTGCCACTCATAACTATGGATCATTTCCACATGTAGAAGTAACTATATGTGTTACCTAATTTTCCTTGTATTAACATTCTGTTTTCCTCAATCTCCCAGGTTTACTATTATTACCCCTTCTCAGCTGTCTCTGATCCTGCAAAGCTCTACAATGATCTTAGATGGAATGTCACAAGACCTCAAGGTTTTGAGGGGGTGATGCGTGTAAGATGCAGCCAGGCAAGTTCTTGAACCTCATTCTCTGTTTTATACAATGATTGTGGAATTTTTTTTTTTAACTTTCTAATTAATTATTCTAGTAAGATAAGTTTGTTTTCACCATTTGCAGGGTATTCAAGTTCAAGAGTACCATGGGAGTTTTTGCAAACGTATCCCTACGGATGTTGACGTACCTGGGGTTTGTACATATCCTAGAATATCCCTGATTACTAGTACATCAGACTATGTTTCTTACTTATCATTTATCTTCCATGGAAGTAAAATTTCCCCTACCCCCTTGATTGCGTTGACCAACAATGACAGTAAAATCAAGATTTTGCAATTTGAAAAATTTAGCGCTTGTTGCTTAGTCATAGCCTGTTTATCTAATTTTCTTTTTTGTGGGTTTCATTCTCCTTGTTCTCTCTCTCTCCCTCTCCATCTCCTTTTTACGTTTTTGTTTTGCCTTGGAAAGAGTGATATGGCCTCTTATATTGTTTGTTGAAATTGTAACCGGTCGCTTCTATCTGCAGATTGACTCTGATAAAACTATTATGGTGACCTTAAAACATGATGATAAATTACAGGATGGCTCAGAATGTGGTTTCCAGGTAAATTTTAATTTCTCTTTTTTCTGCCTAAGGTTTCTAATGCAATAATTTTGATATACTATCTTATGAGCTTTTCTTGTATCTGTCACTACTGATTTTACGACATCGCCCCATCTCTGCAACTGAATGTTCATTTCAATGTTTAGTCATATTTATATATTTCATTATTAATATATTTTGATATTTTGCATTATCCAGTGTGCCCTTTTATACACAACTGTGTATGGCCAACGGAGAATTCGAGTTACAACTTTGTCTCTGCCATGCACAAGTATGCTAAGTAATCTGTTTCGTGCTGCTGATTTGGATACTCAATTTGCGTGTTTCATGAAGCAAGGTATGCTATTGTATGCTCTTTGTTGTTGTTTTCTTTTTTTTATCCTCATTTTCCCATTATGTAATGCTTGTTTTCCTCAGTTAAACCCAGTGTTTAAATCTGTGAATTTATTTATGAATTCACTGTCTTTAAAAACACCTTCGTCATTCACCTCTGATAGTGAAATGATGATATAAATTCTCTTTCTTGACGTTCCTTTTCAATCACTTGCTGCATCTTGCCAATTTATTATTTCTTAGGATTGCGGTTTCTTGTGACATTCTGTCTAATTTCCTTTGGACGAATTCTAACTGTAAGTCCTTTTTTAATATTTGTGTACAGCGGCAAACGAAATTCCTTCGAGTGCTCTCTTGCGTGTACGGGAACAAGTTACAAATCTGTGCATCAGTAGTCTTCTGTCATATCGTAAATTTTGTGCTACCGTATCATCTTCTGGACAGCTTATTCTTCCGGAGGCACTGAAGCTCCTGCCTCTATACACCCTCGGTATATTATTATTTACTAATATATCCATTACTAGTTTATATGAATTTATGATGTTTTTATTTTTTTTCGTTGTTGGTTTCTCCTGTTCTGATATTTTTATTTTTGTTTTCATGAGAAACAGTCGTATGAAAAACAACCAGAGCATAGTATAAAAACTTAGGGAAAAAGAGGTCGATGATAATTTGATACAAGTCAAAAACTCTAAAACTACCCTACAGCAGCTCCCCAGCCTAATGTCTCTAATCAATTTACACAAAATGAAACATCCCTAAAGGCTGGAGACACAGAAGCTCATAATGATGCCCAGAACCTGACTTTTTTTCAAGAGCTCATTCCCATGGACTGTGAGATACGATCCAAGCTAAAAGACAAACCTTAGCAGGAACACTAGACTTCTCCATGCAGCACAGAAATGGACTGCTTATCACCCAAAAACGAATTTCTGTTCTGATTGATATAATGTTAAAGAAAAACATTCCTCTTCCATTGTGGAAACATGTTGCACAGAATTATCATTCAGCTTCTTAGAAGAGTTTGTACGTATATTGATATATTTATCTTGTGTTCCTTTTTCAGCATTAATCAAAAGTACAGGGCTACGAAGTGATGGAAAAATAGATGAGCGGTCCTTCTGGATCAACCATGTTTCTTCCCTTTCTGTTCCTTTGGCAGTTCCACTGGTGTACCCCAGAATGGTGGCCATTCATGATCTCGAATCCAAAAAGGTGTGTCATTTAGCTTCTTATTCAACCCTTTGAGATATGCATTTTATATCACCGGTGGCATTCGTTAATTGACAGGAGGGTGATGAATCTCCATTTCCTCCGGTGATTCCACTTTCCAGCGAACATGTGAGTGACGCGGGAATTTATCTTCTCGAGAATGGTGATGACTGTTTAATATATATTGGGAATTCGGTGGATCCTGGAATTTTGCAGCAACTGTTTGGAATCTCCTCTGCTAATGAACTTCCTACTCAGGTAGCCCCATCCTTTATCACTTTGGTTACTCGTCTTCTGCCTGATATAAATTGTAAAATACACTTTTGGCCTCAAGCCACAGGCGTTCAGTATCTGAACTGGATTTCTCGAATCCTGTTTCAGTTCACTAGAATGATGGGCTGGGTGCTTAATTAATTTTTTTACTGAGGCTTAATTCATTCTTTAATATTGTTTTGGTTGTTTTCAAGTTTTTAATTATATTTATATGATTGTCAAGATTTTGATGATAAATGAGGGTGCATCAGTTAAATAACTTCATTATCTCGGACACTTTCTCGCTGTACAACGTATCATTATTTAACTCGTAAGTTCTTTCCCCCAGTTTGTGCTACAGCAGTATGATAATCCGTTATCGAAGAAGCTGAATGATGTGGTAAATGAAATACGGCGCCAGAGATGTTCCTACCTTCGGTATGATATTATATTCTGTTACTGGCGCCTTGTATTCACTTTTTGATGGTTTCATCCAAGGCAATGATTTCCATTCGTCTCGTTTATTTGCAGGTTAAAATTGTGTAGGAAAGGAGATCCGTCAGGTGAGAACGCAGCCGAATATCTGACTCACTAGAACGGCAATAAATTAAAGAAAGCTTATGAATTTGGTTTGATTTAAGTATCGTATTATCTTTTGTTGCAGGAGCATTGTTTTTGTCATGCTTGGTCGAAGACCAGAGTCCGAATGGCCCCTCCTATGTTGAGTTTCTAGTACATGTCCATCGGCAAATACAGATGAAAATGGTGTCATAAGTAACTAGCTTTGCTTCTTCAGGTTGGAATTGAACGACAAGTTTTTGCTACACTACTCGAGAAAAATCTGATGTCTTCACTTTTTTAAATGTTTTGTTGTGCGGGTCCTAGTAATGCACCAATCATCGATTATGAAAATTCGTTTTGATTGATTTGTTTTGAAGAGTGGGGGCTCCTATAAATATTAATTGAATAAGCCTTCAAATTTACTTTTGACTATTTAGTTTTGACATCTCTACTTGAGATGCTCTAACTCGGCTAGAGCAATTAGTACTAGGGGATTGTGTGTATCCTGCAATTCTCATGGTCGACTTTCCAATTTACTTAACATAATTTTAAGGAAAACTAATGAAAAAAGCTTGAAAACTTTGAGTTTTAATGATAAGGACAAAATAAAAGGTAAAGTAAATAGTATCATGATTGATTTTTTAGTGTAAAAATGTGGTTTTTTGTTAAAGTGAACAGTAGGTTTTTCGTTAAAACTCTCTTAATTTTAAGTACGAGGTTTTTTGTTTGATTTTCATAGAGAGCAAGCTTGATATCAAATTATTATGACTAACGTATTATTTGCGGCTTAAAACAAAGCTCTTACTTATTAATGTAAATATGTCGTTCTATTGAAAGATTAAAACTGGCGTTGTTGATGCTGAAGATCTTCTCTTGTGGTTTTTGAAGTGACTTAATCTCATGGATGAATAGTTGTACTACAGTAATTTAAGGCCAAAATTTTTTTTTCGCCGGGGGGGGGGGGGAGGGGGCGGTTTGTTTTTCTTTGTTCAACTGTTCAAGTTATATTTTTGGCGACTAGATTCTACGGTAATTTAAAAAAAAAAAAGAAGATCTCTAATAAGATCTCGATACAATTAAAGATACACTATGATGGTCCAAACACTCCAATGCTACATAATTATGATAATATTCAAGTAAATGACAAGATATGTCGTTATTACTACTCTAACAAGGTTGGTAGTTACATTGTAGACGTTCTATTACATTGTCAAGGTAGTCTTTTGTACTTCCACATGATTGAATTACAAAATTAACACCTATTATTATACCGATGATGTACTGTTACAGTGACATTAACTTACGCAACATTGTAATCGTGTTACAACATGACGTTAGCATACAAGATCTAAGGTAAGGTTACACTATAATCGTTCAAATTTACAGACATGAGTTTAGTCAAGTTGACTATAGTAGTACACTCCAACTTATGTATTCAAGTTTAAATCCCCCTTTTCGTAGTTTAGATAATTTAGTATAATTACCCTAACATTTGTCAAAATTCCTATAATAATTACGGACTAAAATTAATAATGTTTTTACTTTATGAACAAATTGAATTTCAACCAATATGGTTGACGACATCGAGATTTAATATTGACAGACTTAGTGATTAAATATTCACGACATATTGATTAAATATCGACAACATATTGAAAAACTTATCATTTCAACAATTAAAGGAATAACTAAGTGAAATGCATCTGCGTCTTCGTATCCCAATAGTTCTGTTTCTGTACATATACAACCTGAGATTATTTTTGTTAAACCACATAATAAGAGTTCTAATATTGTACATCAACATGTCCCCTATAACCATCCACACTCATCTCAATAGTCTCAACTCACTCATGCATGCCGCTGCTCTTGTTCTATGATTGATCATGCATGAATGTTCTCTAGATTTAACATTTTTTATTACTTGTTTTAATACAACGACTATTATTTATATTAAGAGTTGGGAGATTTGAATTAAGCTAACTTGATCTACGAGCGTCTATTTATGACAGTGCACGTAGGCATGATAATATAGGAAAATTAACGAAAAATCCAAAAAAACTTTTCTTTTAATGAAAAGCCATTTTTAAAGGTATAGTGAATAGTACCAGGAAAATGTATAAATGTGGTTTTTTGTTAAAAGTGAATAGTACCGTGAGTGTTTTGTTAAACCTCCCTAATAATATTTGTACCAAACTTGATCTACGAAAGTCGAACTTAAGACCTTATTTACAAGTGAAAAAAAAAAACACTAAACTGTAATATTAAGTGACAACATTTTATTTATTTAAAATAAGTAATATATTATTGTAAGAAAAACATCACAATTCTCAAACATTACAACTTGAAATTTCAACGAAAAGTTAACTGATCAATTCAAGAAACATTTAAATGAAAAGCAAATAAATATAACACGACGAAAGACAAATGCCACAAAAATGACACATGCCAAAAATACAGATTGAACAACCCCCATGGGGTGGTTAAGTGGTTTGGGATGAATTCCAGACTCGTATTTTACACGGTATGTTCTGAGTTCGATTCTTGGCATTAGTGAATTGCAAGATGATGGCTAGAGAGATACTAAAATGCCTTTGTGAGTCTTTTTGACTTCCGAAATAGTGAATTGCTGTGGCGAATCACTAGCTGGTCCTTTTTAAAGAAAAAAAAAAAATACAGAGTGAACACAAATAGTTAGAACTCGACATATTCATACCATCAACATATTGAAGAAAATTGTTTAAAAAAAGACTGAAACACAGTCAACTATCATACCGAGTTGCTGCAGCTATAAAGACAAAGTAAAAATTAAAATAAAAACATGAAACTAAATCCAAAAATTATGCCCAAAGTACTTGGTCCCGCAATAAAAAAAGTCATAGCCTTAAGACCAAGAACACCCTTGTTGCCATCAAGAGCTGATCCTGTTGTCAACCACGAAAGGGACACCGCAGTTGAAGTAGATATCACTGCTGCAACCCAAAAAATAGGGGGAAGGGGGAGGAGGGTGAGGGTTTTCACTGACCCAGAGTCAAAGCCATGAGCCAATGACAAGGGATCAGTAAGGGTTCCTCTTTTTTTCTGCTAGGGTTTTTCCTTGACTCTATATTTTTTATTTTTGGTAGTTTTTATTTATTTATTTATATTTTATTTTTATATAATACGAAATTCATTAGACAAACTTAATTGTACACAAAAAATATCCACAAGACATCAAGGATATTGATGGTAAAAGGCTAATAAATCCTAAAAGGGAAATGCCGCATAATTAAAATCATGAAAACACTAAGGGTTACAATAATTTAGGGGAGGGGAGAGTTTCGAACTCAGGATGCATAGGTCTAAACTCAATATCATATCGACTATGACCATTTAAACCGCTTGATATTGTGGATTTGTCAACTAGGTTTTATCTATTTGGAATAATTTTACTTCTGTTGTAGGTATAATTTACTGAACAATTATGGAGGCCATAGAGAGGGGTGTGGCAATAGTAGAGAGAAAGAGAGAGATGTGTAATTGTGAGGTGTGTATTATTCCACCCCATTGTGCCTTTATTTATAGTAGTAGGGAAGGTTAATTCCTTACCCTTTAGGATTACAACATTTAATAGGTAATCTACTCCTAATAGGAATATAAGATACATTCCTATTTCTACTAGGATTACACAATCACATTCCTATTCCAATAGGACTGCAACACTCCCCCTTGAGTGTGTAAATACTCAAGTAAATGGCTGCATCAAGTCTTCAGTGATGAAGCAAGTATAGTTGATGAAGTCGTCGACACAATGAGCGAATGTGAATCTCAAATCAATAGAAGAATGCATAAAAAGTAAAACTCACAAACCTTTGCTATGGTAAAACCCAAGGTGAGAGAAAAACCCATAGAGTAAGGAGAAAAGTGAGAAGTTGCATTAAGTCAAAACTATACGTTTTTTTGACGCAAGTAGAAGAGCTCTCAAGGGTATGATCAGCCCAGGATGGATGCCTCGTTAAAACCTAGTTAGGTAGCAAAAACCTGGTAGGAAAAATGCTCCTAATCGTAGGGAAAAAGAGTACATTAAGTTCAAGTGAGTATACTTCTGGATACTCCCCCTGAGTTTGACATAACTTCTAAATGAGAACTACAAGCATTGCATATGATAGTTAGGCATACCAATTCCTCGGACAAGCTTCTGGAATGTTGACTTCTGTAGTGACGTCGTGTAGAGGTCGGCAAGGTTGTCTGGGATCGGCTTGCATGATTTCAATCTCCTGATGCTCTGCTGATGTAGATGTAGACGCAATATGTCTTGGCGTTGACTTTGTTGATGTATCATGTCTTGGTCGGGTGGATACATGCAACATAGTCTTCATGGATCGTCGTTGGGACTCAACAATGGATGAAAACATAGCAAGTACTTCGAATATGCTCAACAAGAACTCCTAACCATGTCTCACTTGTGGCATAGTGAAGTGAGGTGAATTTTGGAATGATTCAAAGATTTCGCAACCAAGGTCATATCGTGGGCCTCTAAGATATTGCAATGTCCCTAACAGTAAAGACATAACCATTTGAAGATTTTGCCTTGTGCGAGTTTGATAAGTAACCTGCGTCAGCATAGCAACAAGGCAAGCATCATTTCGAGGATCAGGGGTTGGATCCGCTCGAGATGTGTTAGGATTTGCCCTTGTAGTGCTATAAGGGTACGTCTTTAATACCAATTCAGTGGTTGCGTGTAGGCGCGGTGCTGCATCTTACTAAGATCAACAGTGAAGGAGATGTCCTGTCTAAATACAATGAGCTAAGTACAACGCAGCGCAAAGTTGAACTTTAGATGGAATTTCGAATTCCATAACCTCTTCAGGGTCTCATTTGCATATAACATCTGGATGATCAAAGGTATACTCAAAAGTGACACATTCGGGGTGTAGTTCGACTGGTAGACCAAGGTACCGTCATGACAACGCTTTAACTTCAGGTCAAGGCATAAACGATTTTTCCTAAGATCCTTCATCTCAAATTCCATCTTTAGGTGCAAGGCAGTTTTCTCAAGCTCTTCTGGAGTCTTAATGAGATTCATGTTAACCACATAAACTGTAACTTTAGCAATTCGGAATAAGACTTCATAGTTTAACACGCAAGGGCATAAATCATATCCCTGAGTGATCAAATAATCATTTAGACTGGCATACCACATCCGTCGGATTGTAAGTGAACGCCTCAAAACGAGTTAACAGGGTGTTTCGTGGTTTTGGAACTGTTTGAACTAGTCCATGTAATTCTTCGGGAACTTACACTGTAAATCTCCATATCTATATCCCCATGGAGAAAACACTAACCATATTTCATAATGCTGCTATCAATCACATGACGTTTTGAGAGAAATCTTGCACTGTAAGGCGTGCATCATATTGTACTATTTCATTCATCTCATAACGCT